AAAAAAAAAAAAAAAAAAAGGACAGAGTCTGCACCCCTGAGTTGCTCATGGCTGAAGGCTGCCCACCTGCTGACCGGAGACCCTGGCTTGCAGCTGTACTGTAAGAGATGAGTTGCTATTGAGTGAAGCCCCTAACTGCTGGGCCTATTTGTTATAGCAGCTGGCGTTGCAGCACCATTCATAAAGTTTCTCCCAAAGGGCCCAGAGCTCCTGGCATAACCCTCTAAGAGTGCTGCGATTCTGCAGAGCTCAGAGAGTGCCCTTATTTGATAAAATGAGTGCAGTAAAATATTAATGGTACATCCCAGGTGGTAGGTATTTAAATGTTCATTGTAAATGCCTTTTACCTTGGCTGTGTGTTTCAAATTTTTCATGAAGCAACACTTGAAATAGAAGAGTTATTCCTGTATTTTGAAAATCTTTCAAAATAGGGTTTTGGGAAGATGCCTCAGGGACCCCTAGTTGGTGGCATGGGTGTTGGAAAAGACAACAGTCTGGGTCTACGCCACCTTCTTCCCCACCAACTCCAGTCAGGATGTGTTTGATGTTTCCTTTTTCATATTGGGGTTCAGCACGTGATTTCATTTGGGAAAATGTTTCTACAGTTCCAACAGTAAAGATCTGAAAGCGGCTGGGTTCACTCCTCTCATGTCACGGGTGGGGAAACTGAGGCTCAGAGCAAGGGAGAGACTTGTTCCAGGTCACACAGTGAGCCAGTGGTTGCTAAGGCATTCAGACCTTTGCCCCCAGGACAGTGTCTGTCTGTGGCTTCTAGAGATTTTCTGAGAGTCTCTGCTGTGAAGGCTGCTGAAAGCCAAGGGGAGTTGTTGGACAGCAGGTAGGGCGCCTCCTCCCCAAGTCCCACACCTAGCAGCTAGAGCCCTTTGCTTTTTGCCGTCTTATATGTTAGGCTCCATGGTATTTGACTAAAGGGTCCTGAAGCTTTGGGAGGTCATGAAGGGACTCTGGAGAGGGCTCAGTGTGCCAAGAGTCTCCTGGAGTGGGATCCTCCCCCTCCCTTCCAACAACACCCCCTTCTCTCTACCTGCAGTAGGAGGATGGGCGGGGCAGGCAGGGCTGGATGGATTTTGACTCTGACAAGAAGCTCTCGGGGTCATCTGGAGCCAAGAGCACAAGCGAGAAGTCACTGGACTAGAGCAGGTCGGTGAGCAGAGGACAAGGACAGGGAGTCAGTTCAGGAGTCCCAAGCCGGTGGTGCAGGGGCCGGAATGTGCCCTGAGCTCGCTTGTCATTCACCCCTTCCTTCTCCACCTCCATCCACCAGGCCCAGGGCGAGGCGATGGAGACTCTAGGATAAAGGGGCGCACTTCCTGCCTCGGGCACACAACGCTGCAAGCAGAGAGGCCAGTGAGCAAAGAAGAACAGGGTGCTCTCACCTACACCTAGCAAGCAATCGGCCGCAAAGCCTTTACAGGTCCTGTCACCCTCCCCTCAGCCTCCGTTTCCCAAAAAGCAAAATGAAGATGATTGCAATTCCAAACACTAGGCACAGAGCTTAGCTGTCTCTTCCAGACTTACAATGGTGAGGAAAGAGAAGGGTCTTTTCACTGCCTCTGGTTTATTTAGTGCAGGGGCACAGCTTTGAATCCTGGCCTCATTACTTTTTTGTTGTCATACCCGGGGGCACTGAGCTCTATCCCCCGCCTATTTCATTTTCATTTTGGTAAACTGCCCAGGCAAGACTCAAACTTGCAATCCTCCTGACTCAGTCTCTCTCTATGCTGGGATTACAGATGTGTGCTCCTGCACCTGGTTTGGCCCCATTTCTTATTATTAATGATGACCTTAGGCTCATCACTCCGCCTCCCCCCTCGGGCCTTGGTGTTCTTCTGCTTGACATAAGAATAACAATAATAGTAACTGCTTTGTCTGACGGTTGTGATGTTGCAGTGAGATAAGAGAGGAAAGCATTTAGAACAGTGCTGGACCCACAGTAAACATCTGTTAATCTTTGCTGTTAGCGCCATGATAGATTCTGAGTCTATGAAAGCAGTTAATGATGCTGTGGATGGAAATAGGCTTAGTGCTTGAAGAGGACTTGGGGACCACCTAAACCCTGTGGGGTGCTTGTGTGCTAAGCTGGACCTGTTGGGAGGAACAGGTTCTGATATCCCACCCGGGCTCAGTGAGAATTGTGCTGCAACTGACTAGTAATGTCTGCCACAGGCAAGGAAGGGGAGAGTAGTGGGAGGTATGCCTTGCGTTAGCCATTCTTAGTGCTCCTTCCAGCCCTCTCTTGGTACAGATTGGGGAACTAAGACTGTGAGGAGGACTGAGACTTGCCCAAGTCCACCTAAGCTGTCAGGAACAGGGCTCCCAAGCCTGTTTCCCTGATTCCTTGATGGGCCCTGGTCTATGTCATTTAATCCTGTGGAGAAAAGTCATTATTTCTCCATTACATTTCCCAGCCTGTTTTCTGGAAGGGAGTTAATTGATTTAAACTTTTCCAGGATGACTCTTTCCCTTCCTCCTCCCCCTTGGGCCCCTGCTCCCGTTATAGCTCGGCCTCACGGAAATGACTGGTGGCATCTACGATAAGAAGCATAGAGGTCTTTAGCCGGGTCTCCAGGCAGGGGTGGAAGTGTGGGCTTCACTCGGGTCGGAGTCTTCTGGGCACCTCCACGTTCAATGACAATAACTGCCGGGACTTAAAGACGCAGTGTGTTACCAACAGCAGCTGTCACCGCTGAACTACGTGCTATGTGCCAGAAGGGGCTTGGAGTGTCCCCTGGCTCTTCATATCCCCCAGGTCACAGAAGGGGAAACTGAGGCATGGGGAAGGTCCCAGAGCTAGGATTCAAACCCAAGACTGGCAGGCCCTAAATTCCTCGTTCTTTACCATCCACCGTCCCTGCCTTGCTGGCTCCCTTCAAGGCACATCACCCCAGATGTTCTAGCCACACTAAACCGAGCCCAGGCCCCCTCCCGTCCTTTGCCCCTTGGGGCGGAAGCCAGCAAAAGCGGCTCAGGACCAGGCTGGCTGAGGGAGCCCTCCTGTCTGATTCATCGTCCAAGCTGAAATATTTATTTACGCACCCCATTTAATCAGGGTATGCCGTAATTAGCGGCGGATTTGTGCCTCCTTCCCACAGTGTTATTAATTTCGTGTTCTGGGCGGCCACTTCCCATGCAGAGTGTTTGCTGGGCCTGGATTTCAAGCAGCGGGGGCCACGTTGGAGCTGTCCCCGGGGACCTCACAGTGGCGGTGTCCCCCCGCCCCGCATGATGAATGAGCCTGCAGACAGCAGAGATGCTGCTCAGCTGCTCTGGCATGTGTGGGGTGTGTGGGGGGTGGAAAGGGGGCGTTTACCAGTCCCAGGGTCTTGTCAGGGAGGAGCTGTTCCCTCCCCTGTGCTAGACAAGAGCCTGGCATTCCCTGGTCCAGGGAGACAGCACCGTGCAGGTCAAACTGTACTTCTGCTTCTGGAACCCTCAAACTGGAGGGCACTTGAAAGGATTTCAGTCCCCGCTACTGTCTTGAAATGGGCTTATAGCTCAGTATCCCCCTGCCTCGACCATGGGGGACACATGCTGGGAAGTTCCTCGGGGTCTAACATGCTCACGGTAAAGCATCTACAACTCTGTCCCCGAGGTGACCCACGGGTGGCACCTGTGTCGCTGTCCAGAAGGAGCCAGAGATCCTGGAAGCGGGCGAGGCACAGGTCCCGATTCAGGAGAGCACGGAGCCAAAGTCACGGTCCATCCTTCGGGAGGCTCCTCGAGTTCAGCCCCTGCATGTTTGGACGAGCGCCTCCGCCTTGGTCCCCTTCTGCGTGCTGGTGTAAACAGGGGGGAACAGCAAGACATCTCCCAAATCACTGCTAGGACTGAGTGAGCACGCAGACCACAGGAAGTGCTCGATAAGTGCACCATTGTTAGTATCTGATGGTTAACTCTTGCACTAACCTGGCAGGGTAGATATTCACCATATTACAGATTGGGAAACTGAGGCACGGGGAGGGCTTATGCCTCTCGTCCTCATTTTCCACGCGGAGGAACGGAGGCCTAGGACCTTGGGGTTACCACTCGAGAGCTGCCTCCCACGTGTCCAGGTTCTCCCTGAGAGGACCACCACTCCTCCAGGGCAGGCTCTGGCAAGCAGGCCCGGGGGCGCCGAGCCCATGAGACGCTCCAGGAATCAAGAGGGAGCAGCTCTGAGAGGCAGCCAGCCTGCGCTGGGCAAGCAGAGGAGCTCAAGCAGGGCGAGGCCCCGGAGCTGGTGTTCCCTGAGTCTCGAAGTGAGGGAGACAAAGGTGGCTCAGCTGCGCTGGGGGTCTGCGGCTGCCAATTAGGCCAGATGCTCACAGGGGATCCCATGTTCCTGCCCTAGTTGGGACAGGGTCTGTGGCTGCGCCTCCCCCAGATGCCACTGCTTCCTGGCCACCTGCTGTAATGAGGGCAGTGGGCTTGCGGCTGGAACAGGCAGTGATGTGGGGGGAGGAGCTGGTCCAGGGCTCTGCCAGCCTCCTGCTCTCAGTTTGGCAGATGAGAAAGCTAAGGCTTGGGGAGGGCAATGCCTTGCCAAGGGTACAGAACGTAAACCTGGAGACTCTGGGAGGACCCCAGGTAAACAGCTCCCCAACACTCACACATATCAGCTGGTCTGGATCCAACGAGTCATCGCCGTGTGGCCTGAAGCAAATCACTGTCTCTCTGAGCCTCCCTCGGATCAGGTGTCATAATGGGAATAATACCGACTTCGGGCTGGGGCTGGCAGATGTGGTGGATCTGATCATCACAGAATGGCAGACACACGAGCCCCTCAGAGGACTTTTGAAAAAGGACCAGAAGTGTGTTGGCGAAGGGGCCCTTCTGTGCTGCCCTGTGTGCCTTCTCAGTTTTGCCTACGCTGTTCCTGTGCCTAAAATGCCTTATCCTGGCCCCTTTTCCCAGGCTAACTTCTACCCATTGTTCCTTCCCAGCTGAGTTGTCACCTCCACCAGAAGATCCCATCCACATGGGCTGGAGTCCGTCTCCCCTCACCACGCCTGGCTCCATCACCTGCTCTCCTGGGGCAGATGAGGCATGGTGCTTGTCTGGTTGCACGCGGCCCTGGCATCCAGCACACAGCCCGGTGCACCGTGAGCACAAAATGTGTGTTGATTCTCCAGCTGACACCGTCCTACCCACCATTCCCACCTCTCCGGGTTCCCCATCCTTATCCTCTGTGGTGGGGACCGGGATGCTGCCAGCAGGTAAATCTGAATCCGTTAGAGGAGTGGACCAGGGGGTACAGCCGGTTTTGCAGCCCTGATTGCTAATTTGCTTGTTCTGCAGTGGAAGATGCTGGCTGACCCTGGGCTGCTCACCTCTGGCCCTGACAGAAGCAGCAGGAGAGCACGATCTGAAATTCCAGTTTGATCCAGCCCAAGTGCCTTCACGGTCTTCCAGCCTTGTTTTTATGTGCTTGCTTTTGGTTGTTGTTTTGCAATATTGGGGATCGTACCTAGGGCCTTCACCTTTAGCTATATCCCTAGCCTTTTTAAATTTTGAGCCCAGGCTGGGTTCAAACTTGCAATCTTCCTGTTTCAGCTTCCCAGAATGTGGGCCTTGGGTTTTCTTTTATCTCTGAACCGATCACTCCAAAGCCCGCAACTGGGGAAGGGCCTTTGACGAGCTGAGAGTAAAGAGAGACATTGTCCAGCTCACTCCCCGGACTCAGCATCTCCGGGAGGGCCCAGAGCACTTCCGGTGGGTGGGGCCCAAGGGACCCTCCTGGCCTTCAGTCCCTCCCCTCTTCTCCAACTGCACAGATACAGAGTGCATCCATGGAAATTCCCACTAGGATCCACTGTCATTTGCTGAGCACCTACTGTGTGCCAGGTGCTAGACATTCCCCATTCTCACTGGGTTCCCCACTGCCCCCATTTTATAGATCAGGAAATTGAGGCAGAAAGAGGGCTCAAGGACTCACAGCTGGAAAATGCCAAACACAGGACTTAGAAAGCAAAGAAATCCCTCCTGTAGAGACTACCATTGGTTGCTTCTACGCTGTGTGACCATCGTCACCATAACCTCCATGTTGAGCCTGTGTCCCACGTGATGACCACTGAGGGTGCTCAAGCAACCCTCCTAGGATAGAATAAAGATGGGTCCTCACTTTAAGTGAGGAGACAGAGGCTCAGAGAAATTAGACAATGTGTTGGGAGTCACCCAGTTAGAAGTGGCAGTGTTATGATAATCACCCTTGTTGACACAAAAGTGCATACAACTTGGCCAGGGACTCGCACAGGGAAATGTTTGTTGATCAGCTGACTAAAAGAAGGAAGCAGGGAAGGAGTACGAGTGGCTAGCTCTAAGATTTGTATCAAGGAGTGGCAGGGAGTTGGAAAGGAGCCTCAAGTCCAACCCAGGCCCCCAGTGCCCAGTCTTCTGACCTTCTACAGAGCCTTACTTCTCTCTGCTTGGCCGGGGGGTGGGGTGGGG